CGGCTGTCACGAAATCATGCACATTATATATATATATTATATTATATAACATGTCACTGTCCAAAAAACCTGTCATGATTTTTTTTTAATGAAAAATAATAGTAATGTTATCAAATGCATCTTTAGGCTTTTATGTTGGTTAATGATTTAAACTAAACATATTGTTGTACTGAGATGGAAAGGCTGTATCCATAACTGCACAAAAGCGTACAAGAGGAAATATATGTAAGAGGTGTTGGAATAAAAAATATGTGACTTATTAAGATGATATTCAAATATCATGGGTATCTTTGCTAATGGTATATTGCAACACCCCAAGGCGTATTGAATGTATATATGCAGTGTGTAACCAACCAAAACTGCACTATAGGCTAAGCTCAGGCTGGAAACACTAACCTCAGTGTACTGAATGCCTCGTTGGGAGCCACCAATGGCGGCCTCAGAGGGAAACAGACACTCCAGGAACTCCATCCGGTTCAGGGAGACGTCCGTGCTGAAAGTCCGCAGACTGGACCCCTGACAGTGCTCATAGCTGATCTTCAGGCCCTGGCCCACAAACCTGCACATATAAACCCCAGATCACACAGACATAAAACACTTACATGAAAAATCAAGTGTAACCTTGCAGAAAATATGTAAAAAGGCCACCTTAGATGGTCATGGGGACAAGCTTGGTTAAACACTGTCCGAGACTGAAGGAAAGCAACTGGAGCGAGCCGGCCCGGGCCCACCATGTTGAAGAACTGTGCCGCCATGGGGCCGAGGGGGCTGGGAGAAGCATCTGGGGGGGGCAGCGGGTCGATGTGGAGGACGGCCACAGCCAGGCTACTCAGAGTTAACCTCAACACCAGCTCTGGCCTGGACTCATCACCGTGTGTTTTCGTTGGATGGGCTGAAAAACAAATGCACAAAATACTTCATTTCAGTGGTTTAATGATAACCATGTGCAACAGAAGGTTAGGTTTGTAAACAGTTGTAACAGTATTCAGTAGTTCAATGTGTATAAAGTATGTAAAACATAAACAGGTACATTGTGATACTTACATGTCTGTCTCAGTAATTTTTGAGGGAAATGGGAATCCCGTTGGGCGGGACTTTCATTAGTGTGCTTTTCTCTTTGTTGGGGGACATCCATGTAATCATCCCACAGAGCCTACAAATGATGCCAGCTAGTTTAACAACAGAAGCTCATTTGGGAGAATTTAACCACAGAAACTAAAACACTGAAGTGTCAATTATAAACCTCGTAGTTTTACCAGCACAAAAATAAATAGTTATTGTAATGCACTTTACTGAGGATATCAGTATTTAGGAGAGTAACAAGACCACAGGGAACTCTTATGATCAAATTTGAATTATCATAATAATATTTTCACCTGATTATTTTCTTAATTCTCAATTATTTGGTTTACAAAATGTCAGGAAATGGGCAAAAAATTCCATCCCAGTTCCTTAAAGTCCAATGTGATGCCTTTAAATGTCAGTTGTATACAATTTTATTTCACATAAAACTGACATAACAAGAAAACTAGAAAGAATTTTACGATAAATCGCTTACCTCTTTTTTGTCTATCGACTAATGGACTTATTAGTCACTCTGCTTGTCCCTGCACTTATTTCAATGTGTCTTCATGACTGCAGTCAAACAGGCGAAGACTTACTGTGGCATTTCCAGAAGGAGATTCTACTGGTGAGGCAGAGTAGTTGCTATTGAGGGACAGGTCCAAGTCAACGGTGGGGGGTTCACCCAGAGGAGGAAGGGATGACAAGCTGTGAGACATGTCCATGTCTGCCATGGAGAAGAACACATCATCTACACCAAACACAAAAAAACAAATCAAAGGAAAGGAAGAAAAAAAATGTAATTAGTTAAATGCAACCATAACTTCGGATGCGTCTAAACTCTAGGGCTAGGGCATCTCAGTCCAACCTCGACTAGACACAGTTCTGGTGGTCTGGCTCTCAAAGAGGTCTGCGTCCGTCCCTGGCCCAGCAGTGTCCTTCTTCAGACAGCGGTTCAGCTCCATGTGGAGTCGATACTCATCCTCTTGCTGTATTGGTCGGCTCTTTCTATCCTTGGCCCATTCCTGTGCACCTTCACACAAAGGAAAGGAAAATACTCTCTTCTTAACATATGTATTTAGCACATTATGTAGTAGTAGTATTAGTTTATTAGTCCCCAAGGGGAAAATGGGTTGCAGCACATCACAGAGGCATTTAAAAAAGTTAAGACAATACATCACTGACAACAACATAGACACAGATAAAAACAAACAGACATAAGAAAACCAGATATCGGCAACATATGTAACATTATAACCCTGCTTGATCCACATGTTCTCCTTTATCTTTCCACAGAGGGTTTCTCACCTCCACCAGAGAAAGCTCCACACAGGTCCAGAAGAAGATGAACTTGCCGTGGGGACAGCAGAATAATAAGTGTATCAATATGTCCAACAACATCCAGCTGAAAAGCAAAGCATGTAAAACACACTGGTTAGTAACAAATACCCATAGCTTATTATATTGATTTAATAATGACTGATTTACCTTTGCTCCAGGCATAGCCATGTTGTTTTTCAGAGTGAGGGACAACTCAATTTGACCACAGAGGCTCCCGACCTGCACAGGTTCAAAGGGTGTTGTGGAGGAAACAGGCTCTGTAAACTGGGGATGAGGCTCACATATTATTTTGGGATTCCAGCTAGGTGAAAGTTTTGGCTCATTTTCCTGCAAAATAAGAAAAACATGTTGTTAAACGCTGATACATACATACAGTTTCATGGCAAATTTCAAAGACTTACTACACTAACCGTTGGAGTGGGTGAAGATTTACAACCAGCACGGGACACATCTGAGAACTCATCCCAAAACACGGTCATGTCTTCCATCTGCAAGTTTTTATGTGCAAATGTGGTTGGCTGATGCACATTCACACTGGAGCTCTCCTCGTCTGTTTCATCGCAGTAAACAATCCTGAAAGCAACAGCAGAACACGATGAGCTTAACAAGGACCTGCAGTTTAATAGCGATAACTTTCATACTATTAGCTGCAGCTTGTTTAGCACTGTGTGAATACTTTTCTGATTGCTTGTCAAATCCTGATCAAGGACTTTAAAGTGATAGTGGATGAAGGCTGGAGTTTCTAGAAGAGTAGTTACTGATTTAAAAAAATAATTAGAACATTTTGGAGATTGCCTGATATCCCATGGACAGTCCCCACTTACTTTTTTATTCGAATCTCAAGGGCGATTCCAGTTTTAGAATGTTCGGGAATGTGTTCGACTCTGAGGACAGTATCCAAAAATGTCACCTTAACTCTTCTCAGAACTGCACGATGGAAAAATAAAAGAAATGACTTTAAATAGACATAGGCTGGTTACAATGTTTGGTTTGAATGTTGCCTAGCAGCATAGACACACCGTACCTGTCTCTATCGTTTCTGCAAACTTCTCTAATCCCTCGAAAGGCTGGAAGCTCTCTCCCATATCATCTGTGAGTTTCTGGCTGAGACATTCTTTGGCAAGCTGCATGCTGCTCGTCATGAAACTGGACCAGTACATGGGCTCTGTGCCAGATGCTGGAGGAACAGCCAGTGGTGACACAGTTATTGACTTTTCTGTCAACTTTTAAACATGTAAGACAACATGTTTCAACTTACCCACTCTCGGCCTTGGTCTGAGCACCATCTCCAAACCTTTGATCTCCAGGGCACAGTTTTCGTGCAGTAGGGCAGCCCATGGAACCGTTAGAGAAATTGTCTGGATGAACCCCGCGATAACCTCAAAAGGTGCATCTGCTGTCTCTAGGAGCTCATTGAGTGACTGAGAAAGAAAAGAAAATGCTCAAGTCTCTCCTGAATCAAATAAATGCATCTGTTGTACGTCTGCAACAAAACAAACATACCCATTTATCCAATGGCACTTGTGCAAGTGTTCCAGTGCCTTGATAGAGGTCTAAACTGAGCTGATCCAAACTCAGTTTCTCTTGAAGGAAGTTTCCAAGGTACCTATGCAGAAGGTATCTGCAGGCCCGCTTCTTGATGGATTCCGAAAATGGCCAAGGCATTTTAACTCAAAAGGTGAACAGTTCAGTGTAATAAAAGGAATCTTGAGGCCCTGAAACGGAATGCTATAGCTACTATGAATTAATCACTAGTGGTACAGTTGTGTCATCCTGTCGACTTAAAGACATTGGGAAATCGTGAACTCAATCCCCCCTCACATCCTAAAATAAGGGTCACTTTGGAGGATGTGTTGACACTCGGGAAATGGTCTGACTCCAGTTTGCTGCTGCTATGGAAAGACCTATGACAAAACACACACATGCAATTTGACACTTGTCACAACATGAGCGTTAACACATAATTTACAACACAGCTGAAAACAACAAGCTGTCAGTTTAACATAGGAACTGATTTAAATTGCTCAAGCATTATAATAAAGGGCAACATAACATAACATGTCCAATTAACGTTAGTGTTATTCTAAGCACACATTTATCCTCCAAGTGATAAACAAGCCAAATGCACTTGGAAATAATCGTTAGCATGTCAGAGAGTTTGTAGTTAATAGCTACCCTTAGCTATGTTTACTTTATCAGGGCTGTCATCGTAGTAAAGGGATGGGAGTCGCGCTAGCTAAACAAAGGCAGACATTTAGCTTAGTAGCCGGCTAGCAAGGCTAGCGACGTTAGCTAGCCTAACAACCACTCCTGTCTGCAGAGTGAGGCAACATTAGCATAGCCGGCTAACAGTAGCAGTACACGCTCGCTGGATGTCTAGCTAACCCTTAAATCAAAAATCTCTCAAATTATGACCCTAACACCTGCACTGTACACTGACAAATAACACGTTTCACATATACACCAGCGCAATGTGACTAAACAGATTAACACACTTGAAGATATTAGTGCAGCTGTCAAATTACCTTCTGTGTGAGTTGTTTACAAACACTCTCATGACTCCGCACGGATTGAGCCCACTCACTACGGGGTGGGATTAGACCATGACGTCACAACATGGCGGATCTGTGTGGCGCACCGGACACTTCACTGGGTCAACCTTTATTTTAAGGTCGTTATTTAGACACTACGCAGTCACTATATAACAAAACGTGCGTTAATGTGATTTCTGTCTCTGGTTGTCTACACATTTGATGCTAAACAGAGAGTTTTCTGGCGTCAACGCTCACTTGACTGAAGCCTCTCCACGGAGAGCTCTGAGCGGGCTGGAAGCTGCAACTAGCCGGAAGAACACAACCAGCGGGGAGGTGAGGAAGATGCACGCATTTTGGTCAGAAATCATTCATGCAACCTAATTAGACCCAATGCCTGAGCCCCGTTAAATTGCGTGCAAAATGAATGCCTTTTAATTACGAACAAATTGATATAAATAGGTTTGAATGTCCCACAGCAACATATTGCTTAATGTAACACGTTAGCCCTCAAAGTAAGCTACAGTAGATCAGTCTCGCTAACTAGATGTATGTATTATATATGTACATTCCGAATAATAACATTTTCATTAAACTCACTTTGATTCAGTACTAACTATAATGTCAGTAACCAGGTCTATTTTTGCTTCAGTCGTCTTTAATAGAAGGCTCCTCAGAGTCCTCTTGATGGCGCTGTTATGTCATTGTTTTTATGAATAAACATTTTTTTTAACACTTTATTTATTGTTTTTTCCAACACATAACACAATAACAGAAGAGTACAAATGCAGGTGCTATATAAAAAAGATGACAAAACAATAATGATAATAACATAAAAAGACCATTACAGTAATAGCAATGACACAAATAAACCAAAATACACAATGACATGATAAGACAGAAACAGTAAACACCTAAGACCAGTCCCTCCCACCCCTACCTCCAGACAGGGCCACACTGTGCAGTAATCGTCAAAAAGCTGAAATACATATTCAACTACTTGCCTCAAATGCATGTGTATTTATCATAGCACTTATTCAGCCTACAATAGGTTGTTGGATGTTTTCTATATAATTCCTAAAGCCAGACCAGTACTTATCAAAACATATGTGGCTTTCTTTTAAGATTAAAGATATTTTTTTCTGACATCATGGAGGAGGAGATTTCTTTGAGCAACATGGAAATGGGGGTGGGTTCTGCACTCTTCCATAATAGAGCAATACATTTGTTGCCGGCGATCATGGCCGGGTTGATTAGGTGCACCTTACTCCTTTTGTGTGAAGGGATGTCAGAAATGTCGCCTAACGGGGCTAATTTAGGTGTACAAGGAATCTCAAACCCAGAGATATTTTTAAGAATCTCCCATATTGACTCCCAGTAGTGATTTCATTTATTACATTCCCAGAACATGTGAATTAGGCTACCTGTCTCTGTAGTACATCTAGGGCAAATATCTAAAATTTATTGATTTATCCTATGAAGTCTTTCTGGTGTAAATTAGGTTCTGTGAATAATGTTAAACTGCAAAAGTTTATGTCGGCTGTTGTACTTGTATGAGAAAGTGACTCCCATTTTAAGTCTCCAAAGGTACAACTCAGGTCTTGCTCCCACTTGGTCCTAGAATTCAGGGGTTTAACCTCTGTAAGGGCCAGAATGCGGTTATATGACAAGGAAAGTATACTTCTTTACAACTTTTAGAACATTGTCAATTGGGAGAGACTGGAGTTTCCCCCAGGAAGTGTGCTTAAAAAGTGTCTGACTTGCAAATATTTGATGAAATGATTAGTTGGGAGGCTGGAGGAGCTACACAGCTGTTCAAAGGTCATAAGTAAGTTATTCTTACTGATCACCAAATGTTTTGATTCCCTGGGTGTGCCACATCTTGGTTATCCCATCTCTAAGTGCACCTGGCAGAGCAGGGTTGGTATGGAAGGGAGTATGCTGTGAAGTACGACAACACTATTGAGATGTTTCTGTATATCAGACCAGATGGATGGACTTTTATTAATTCCTCGTGGGGAAATTGTTTCTCTGCATTTGACCCATCCTAGTGTTAGGAGCAGTGTGCTGCCATTTTGAACGGCGCCCGGGGAACGGTGCCTTGCTCAGGGACACCTCGGTAGCACTTGGTCTTGCCGGGACTTGAACTGGTGACCTTCCAGTTGCCAAGTGACCCTATCGACTTCGCCACCACCGTCCAGATTCTAGCTGTGTGATTAATAATAGGATTATCAGTATATGAATAAACATTTAGCATTAACGCTGGTACAGGATTTATAGATGGTAGTGCTGGAAAGCAAATACACATATTTACTCAACACTTTACACATCTACCACATTTATTTGACAGCTGTATTAAAAAAATATATATATAAAAACACAAATAATATAATCATCTTGTAAAATGTTGACTACAATAATAGAAAAACACTGTGTAAACACCATTAAAAGGTAGCAGTAAAAATCATTCTGTATTACAGTTATGATAATATAATGGGGCTATTTTTCTGAAATGAAATATTTTAATTTCATAATAATAATAATAACAGTAGTACAACTTGCTGACTTGCTTTGTTCTTAAACTTAATATTCACTTCAATAGTAAAAGAAGCATATGTCTCAGTATATTTGTATCTACTGTTTAATTGTTGCTCCATACAGGGTTCAGTCTACACAACAGGAAAGTACAAATGTCTATCTAATTCAGCCTCACCAGCACTGTGTGTTGGTTAAATATACAATTACAAAGGAACAAGCCATAATAACATTGAATTCTCCAGTAAAAACTGACAGATCCATTGGGTTTTAGCCCTAAAATCCCCATCAAATCAGCAAAGTGAAAGGGACAGGACAAATAAAGGTTGCTACATGTTTCGCAATCAGTGGTTACATTGGCAAGGGCTCATTTCCCTTTAAGGCATCCAGCCAACAAATGAATGTTGACGAAGCCCGATACAATGCAACAGGTTTAAGCTGTCATGCAGAAAAGAGACTCAAATGAAAGCGTGGCGTAAGGATCTCTGACATAAATAGGACAAACCAAGATGAATCTTGTTTAACAGTAATGCACCAGTGCTAAAAGGACACATAGTGGACATGTAGAGTGGGGTGGCTGTGGCTCAGTGTGCTGGACTTCGAATCAGGGGATAGCAAGTTCGAGTCCCACTGCAGTCAGCATGTCGTTGTGTCCCTGGGCAAGACACTTCACCTCAAATTGCTCCTGTGGGGATTGTCCACGGTACTGAATGTATGTAAGTCGCTTTGGATAAAAGCGTCTAACAAATGACATGTAATGTAATGTAGAAATAGAACAGGTATTACTTTGAGTTGTTAATATTAATGGATTACATGCAGCCATTCATTTTTGGGCCTTTGTAAAATGAGCAAATCCTAATTATTGTACAAAGCATTTAATATAATGTATAATCGTAACAGAACTTGTGGTGTAGACCTGACCATTTAAAAAGAGTTCACTCTGCACTAAAAAAAGATAAAGGAACCAACTGATGCATGTTTGTTTCAGTTCTACTTTTTACTTTAGATAACAGTTCTTAGGAAACATGTGATAAACCAACCCTGCTGCTGAATCATCAAATGCTAATGTGTGAGTGCTGCCTTGAAGCTTCCCATAGCTGTACAAAGCTGGGTTATTGGATATTTGAAAAGCTTTATGACCAGATGTAACAGGTGTAGTTTAAGACTTAGCTACTGTTTCAATTCATATGTGAATCTGAAGTGCACTCGTTTATTGTAGACATGGAGAACACTTTTTTTTGTGCCAGTCAGCAAGTTTTAAAAGCATATCACAACATCTGTGCGTCAGCTGAGTCGATCAATAATGCTGTTTCTGATACAGGGGATGGAGATAGACTGCCAGCCCGAGGAACCGGTTATCTCTTCTTTTGACGAGGACTGTGTTGAGCTTGGTGACGTCAAGGACATGAGATTGGAGGCAGAGGCAGTTGTCAGTGACGTTCTTTTTGCCGTTGCTGAAATGCACTTGTCACAAAGTTTCAACAGCGCGAGGGATGTGGCCCACATCAACGTGGAAACAAAAGAGGGAAACCGGTATTGTCTGGAACTCACAGAGTCCGGACTACGGGTAAGATGCACCAAAAGTGAGATGTGTATTTCTTGTTTTATTACGCCTTTATGGCCTGTTTTATAATAAATCACTCTACCATACAGGTGGTGGGCTATGCCTTCGATCAAGTGGACGAGGATTTGAACACCCAGTATCATGAGACTGTTTACTCTCTTCTGGACAAGCTGAGTCCGGGTTACAGAGAAGCCTTTGGGAACGCTTTACTCCAGCGGCTCGAGCAGCTGAAGCAAAACGGACAATAAAAAGAACCAACATGCTGTATAAGTGGAATGAGGGCTGATGATGCAGGGTGTATTTTGATGTATCCACCTGCCTAGCTACCATTACAATAAGAGCCCCATCAACTTATTTTCATACCATTGAATGACTTCTACTGCTAGGTATTGGCTATATGGGCTCTGTTGCAACATTGTGTTGTTGACTTTACTGTGGTAAGATCTTCCAGCTTCCACATGATTCGAATCTGTGTCAGCACATCGTCTGAGTATTCTGCACCTTTTTGTATTTGTAATTATCCGAGAAGGTGGAGCAGCAAGTTGTGAATTATTTTTCCAGTTTATTCCTCTACCCTGCTTTCACTGTAGTTCTGAGCTGATATCTGCTCAAATATACGTAGGTACTACTTATTCAGCACCTCAAAGCGCCAAAGCTTTATTCTTTCAACTCAAGCTGCCTTAATGACCTTTGGTTAAAAAAAAAAAACATTGACCCGTTACTTATTTTGTATAGACGGAGATAAAAAAGGTATTTTGTATGGCTGACAAGGTCATGAAACATTTTAAAAGTGGGCACTGTCAAGTTTTGCTTCAAGATTACATTTTCCATACTGCACTACACCTCAAGCTTGCGCTATACAAGTAAATAAACTCCTTTGTATTCATGTCATCAGACCTTTTTCATTCTGTCAGAATCAAAATCATGTTTATATTCGGTCAATTGCCTGTTTATTGTACACGTCACCTCTTAAAATCCTAATTCTCAAAAAACGTATTTAAAGAAATTGGTTCTTTGGATTTATACAAATATCCCTTCTGCCGGTCGTTCTTTGGACCAATACATTCTCAGAATGATGTTTGTCTGCTTTAAGTCATGTATAACAATCTACACATTAGCAAGACACATTTACTTAAACAAGGACTAGTTGGTTTAATCACTAGGCCAAAGCCAGTCTCTGCATTGTCATAAGATTATTTCAGAGACAATAAGTTTGCCTTTTAATTCAGTGCACATATGACAGGTATTTTGGATCATTTGAAAAATGCCATAATGATCCTTTAGAATAATTTGTACTCATCACGGTTCATATTATAGTCACACTTGGCCCAGATTATATTTCTTTATTATAGTTTATGTTCCCTTACAATTTCAAAATGTCATTCATCTAGTAGGACAAGATCAGTAAGAAATATAACAAGTGTTAGTAAAGAGGAAGTACAGTTTGTACCTTTTCCGACTACACAGCAGCCAGTAAGACAAGTATGCACTTTAGTGGAATGTGATTCAGCGTCACTCACACAAATATCAATCGCCTTGTTGCACATCCACATTTGTTAATGTTGGCAGGTCACAGACAAAAATCAGCAGTTCAAGATGTGCAAGAGCAGCAGAGTCTTGTGAACGTGGTTACACCTTAAAACAAACACAATGAGGAATGAATAAAACGAGATCTTACGAGAATCATTTAGTATCACTGGTTTTTACTCAAAGCTAAATCCCTTTAAAATCAAACAATCACTTGGTGAAGAGGTGCTTCTGCTTGTTTAGCTCACAATCTTGACTGGGAACCGGATGCAGAACAGGTCTTTGTTGTTGTCGTCTCTCAGTTCCCACTCAACAACCAGCTTTATCTAGAAAGACAGAGTGCAAGCATGATCAGTGAACATAGTGTGCTTCGTTTCTTACATTTAAAAAAAGTTTTGAGGAAGTGAAAGAGAAAGAACTAAAAATGGAAATGTTTTTTAGTTATTAAAAAAGGAACGATTGTTGCCATTGTAACATGTACTACTTACTGAAGGATACTGAGTCTTCACAGGAAGCAAGTTCACATAGTTATACTTATGCTGCTGCTGGATTGGACACACGATGCCAGACTTGCAACCATCTTCAATGGGAATGGGGAATGGGACGGGAACTCCAGCAATGATACCGTGAACCAATGCTGTGCTTGTTTGGCTCAACACATCTGTAGATAAAAAACACAAAAGTGAGGTCAAACGTTTAACAATATATGCATTTATGTTCTGATGTTTAAAAGTTAAGGCACCCTTACCACTGTTGAATGTCACATTGACACCGTAGGACACTCCTTTGTGTAGTTCACATGGCTGATTGGGACAAGGGGCAATGTCCACTGTGACTACTTTGCCAGTAGTTGAGCCTGAAGAGAAAATGGGGAAGGATGTTATCTTTTATAGAACACATTAAAAAAGGAAAGATTAATGATAAAAAAGAACCTTCATGCTTAAGTGAGCCAATTATTGTTATTTTTTAAATCCCAAATTGGGATCAATAAAGTTCTATCTTATCTTATAAGAGGAGTTAATTGTTGTGACATTATAACAATTTGAAATATAACAAATGGTGTTCAGAATGGAAATTATATATGTGGGACCCACTTTATTTGGACCCAGACATGTAGTACCGAAACAGTCAAGTAAAAAAAAAATCAAATCATAAAGAAGTTTTTAAGCAATCCAACGCGGGTGTAGGTTGGACAAAACAGCTTGAATACGTTACCTTTGTGGTCTAGTACACTTTTGGTATCAGTTCAGAATCGTTCAAAAATATAATTTACAAGTAAACAGATTGCTTCTCTCCCTATTGGATTCAGTTAAATGTGTTTAGCTCTTTAGAATTATTTACAGAGCATTTGAACGTCAATAAAGTGGCGTTGGTTAAGTTAAGTAAATCTTACCGCAGTCAAGGAATTTCACCGGCTCCGCACAGGTGAATCCCATCAAGCAGAACAACACGATGATACCAGCCCGGACGTCCATGCTTATTTCTTTCAGTGAGACCCTAAAACAAGGAAATATTGAGCATTACTCAATAGAAAAGTACATTACAGTGAACCATTCTGTAGTAGTCAGCAGAAAGTGTTTAATCACATGACTCAAGTGTTTGTTCCCCCAAATGTCCAGAAAGTAGCATTGATTATAAAGTTCGACACAAAGAAGACATACTCTTTGACTACCTGGCATAATGAAATAAAAAACAAAGATTATTATAGTTATAATATAGGAAGTTAAAAATCAACACACTGTACCTTGGTAGAGCTTCTTACAGTGTCCAAGTGAAGCCGAAAACTGCCTGGCACCTTTTTATTTCCGTGTATCACGAGATTGCTTAACGCCTATTTATCGGAAGTGGGTATTTTTTAGCCCGCAGTTTAGCCTGTCAGAAATCCTCTCAGGCTAAAAAACCCCGCCTTCTGTGATATAATTGCCAGATATAACCCTTAAGCAGTACATTAACTAATTGTTCTGTAAACTAAAACCTCAATTTCAATATGTGATTGGTACCTCTTTTAGAGGGTCGCATATGTTTTGGGGTAACTGTTCCTTAGAGGCAAAAATTAAGGTATCAAAAACCTATGGGGCCCTTACCCAAATACCTTGTTATTGGCAAGTTAACTGACAAATCAAATGCCTATATTGCACTGATCTGGGCGTTTCTATTTGACAGACAACGATTTCCGCCAATGAAAGCGGGATCTTCCTCTACTTGACGGTTGAGGGTGGAATTTAGTAACATTTGTTATGGAAGATGTTATTCGTTGGAGCTATGATAAATGCGTCAAAGTCAAAAGTATTAAGCCTTGCTAGGTAACGTTAATCTGTCTTTTATCGTACAAATAATTTGTTATTATAATCTACAAACAATCTCCTTGGGGGTAGGAACAACAACGGTGTGTTAACGTTTTACTAGGTAGTTAGCAAGCTAGCCCGTAACACGCCACCATTAGTTAGCTAGCACGTTCTAGGGGTTGCTATTACCTTCTGCTGTATTGCTGTCTGATGTTTACGTTACAATGTTTTACAGGGCTTCAACTATTCTGAGCAACATCAATGTGAGCCAACAGTTACACCGACTTCCCCTGAGCCCCCAGCCAGCTCTTTACACAGCGGGGCTTCAGCGCTTTAGCAGCGCCTCGACCCAGGGGCAGGCTGCTGTCTCAGCTCCATCTGAAGTACGACTCACTGAGTCATGTGTGAAGGTCAGCAGATACCCATGATTAAGCATCATACTGTTTGCATGTCTCTAAATAACTTAATGATACGTTTGCAGATTGAATAAAGCTGGTTCTTTACTAGATTATATGTGTCCACATCAGAGCCAGTGTTGACAATGGAAGAGCTACAATATAAATGTATCACCGCTACGTGTTACTGTGTAGGGAATATAGGCTTTAAAGTATAGAGTTATTATATATCTGAGACTTTTGACTGTGAGTGCACACATTTATTTTGATTCTGACTTACTGAGGTGCTAATTGTTTCTTGTCAAAGTTGTTGATATCTGAAACCAGTTATGGACACTCCAGCATAACCTTTTGTGGTATTCAACATTGCGATGCTGCTACTGTAATTGAATGTGTTGGGTTGTTATTTTAAATTGTACACACCATTAACCATGCTCATGTCCCTCCTTTCATCCAGAGACTAGAGGAAATCATGGACAAGGGTGAGTTTCTGAGAATCCATGTAGAGGGGGGAGGCTGCTCCGGGTTCCAGTACAAGTTTTCTGTTGATAGTAACAGGAATGAAGATGACAGGTAAATGGCCACTTGGAAGCTATTGTTTCACACTCATCGTTTCCTGATTGTTTATTGATCCCATCAACTCTGTTCCCATCTGCATCCAGAGTGTTTGAGCAGGGAGGAGTGGGCATTATCGTGGATCAGGACAGCCTGGAGTTTGTGAAAGGAGCCACTGTGGACTTCAGCCAGGAGCTGATCCGCGCCACCTTCCTCGTGCTCAAGAACCCTCAAGCGGATCATGGCTGCTCCTGTGGAAGCTCCTTCTCTGTCAAACTATGACCCTGCTTGCTTATGTCAGTCTTACTTATCACCCCGGTTCACCAGTTTATTAGGACTGTGTACAAAATACAGTAACACATTATAGACACGACTCGATTTAATGCACTCGTACTTCTGGTTTTGTAGTTGTGAAACTACTTGAACTGAATGAAAGGTATCAGTTAATCATTATGCTATCATGCAGATAGTGACAGTCAATGCTAATTGTTATCTAAGTACACAATACTCAAATGTAATCTGTCATTCCTGTCATGTATTCAAACTAAACAAAGACCCCGTTAAAGTGTTTTAGTATACAGTGCTAAGGTTCGCCTCTCTGTGTAAAATATGTAAATAGGCCATATATTGATTGCAAAGAGCTATAATATATTTGTTTTGTCTAAAATAAAACTGAGTGAAACTACAATATTTCTTCAGTCAATTTCATTAAATCCAGATTCATGTCATCATTGTTAGTGAATTCATATCACTCGAGGTCATGGTTGCTTTTTTATTTTTATTAAAGTGGAATTTAAGAAACATCTCACAAAAAATATACAAAAATAATATATACAAATGATATTTACACTGGTATAATGTAAATCAAAATATGCAGCAACAACTTTTTGTGTAGTTAAATGTTTTGCACTTTTCATATTTTCTCTGATAAAACATTCCATTTAGGTAATATATCTGACCACACAAAACATTTACTTACTGTTTTAAAAAGTCACACTGTTCATAGTCATGAAAATGCGACAATTATACGTCATAGCAGCACACTGAAAAGTGAGAAAGAGTTGCAACCGTGTATTGAAACATCAATTTACAGCTGTTCTTTTTTCTTTTTTTTCTGAGGAATTTGGTT